TTTGAGATACATCTGACAAAGTAATTCATCAAATCTTCATTAATTTTTTTATCTTTGCATCTTTAATAATTATTATTATATTTTATCGCAATTTATCTCCTCTCTCCTGAAAACCCATATTAGAAGGTTTTATACTTTCAGTGTTTTTCATTTCCCTATACTACATATTGCATTAATTTTTCCTACACTATTTCTTAACTTACACAGACTTTTTAATTGTAATTATCTATTTGTCTATATTCATAATCACTCTCTCTATATTAATAATTTGTTTATTATTATTCTTACACATCTTATTCTCTCCCTATATTATTCTTTTCTAGTCACTCTAATTTACATTTTCATTGATCATTATACATTTTTTTTTCTAATTCTCTCTCTTCCTTTATCTACATTACATATATTCTAAAGCAAAACATAAGATATATAAGTTTTTAGTATTATCCTATTCATATTTTTTTTTTATTTACCTTTACTCAACCCCGCATTAATTTTTTTTTTTAAACAGAATCTCTTGACTTATTATCTCATATTTTCTCAATATATTTATCATTCTAAATTATATATGCTTTCACTTTTCCTTTCTGCACTAATAATTTATCTATTATTAATTTATTATTCTTCTACTCCTTATTCTCTCCTCTTTATCGTTCTTTAGTTACCGGTTGCATCTTTCATCTATTATTATTTATCTTTTTACTTAATTTTCCTCCTATCTATTAATTATTTGATTGTTTTTTTTATGGTTACAATTATAATAAAATTATTAACTATAAATATATCTCACATTATTTTTAAATGCATTAAGTCATAAAAAATTCTGAATGACAAATATGAAAGAAGATTTAAGCATATAAATTTAATCAATTTAATCTTAAAAAATAAAGACAAATTTTCTTAATTTATTACCAATACTAGTAATCCGCATAATGTTAAAGGCGTCGTACTCATCAAGTCAGTCGGAGGCAGAAATACGTGACAAACGCCTTTCCTTCCATTTTCTCCATTTATTTTATGACTAAATTATTAGTTGGTTTCTAAATTTAGTAGATTAAAATCATTTTAGTCCTTTAATTTTTCATTATTATAATTTTAGCATCTAACCTTTTAAAAGTTTAGGATTTTATGCTTTCATGTTTAGGTTTGAATTTATTAGTTTGTTTCATTGTTATACAATTACGTTACTATTATTCATTTGTTTCACAAAATAAAAGATGAACATTCTGGTGAAATAATTATTAATTAAGGACCAAATTGTAAAATTTTAAAATAAAAACTAAATTATAAAATTTTTAAAAAGTTGAGGACCAACACTATAGCTTACCGTTAAGAAAAGAAACAAGAGTTCAAAATGGAATCAAGCGTCCGCAGCTCCTCGG